ACCCAAGTGACTGTCTTAGCTCCAGCCTGTCTTTTGTGAATTTTACTGCAATGTCCCAAAAGATGAGTTTCTGCTCTGGGGCTGCTGGTTTTCATGCCACCCACCTGAGGTGTATATGTTCTATTGTATCTTGAGATAACAAGTGTGCAAGATGATATTTCCTTCACTTCTGACTCAATATCCTAGATCCAAAGGACAGGAAATTAGGGAAGATTCCACCCTGTGATAATCAGGGTAAGAAGATCCAATGTTTCTCTCCAGGTGAGAAGGCCTGGGCAGGTCATCTTGATTCTGGGCTGACTTGGGAGTGGTAGAGATCATTCCTAGAGGATTGTGCCTTCAAAGATGGGTTTCATGTGTTTTGCAGAAGAAAAGATTGTCAGCTAGGTTGATGTTGCACAAATATCAGACTAAAACTGGTGGAAATGAACTTTTTGGTAGCAGTGGCTCAAAGCCCCCGTCAGTGAGATGTTCTCTCCACATGGGGTGCTGATTTGGTAAATTGCTGCACTTTTCTCCATCCCCTTGGTGAGCTGGGGGGAGGACGCTCTAACTGGACCCTTCCCACCCTCCAAGTGCACTATGTACAATTATGAGTTTGAAATTGTTTACCTCTCCTAGAAAAATTATATCCTTTACCCTCTCCATTGCTCTGTGACCTGAACACAGTAGCAAGGCCCTGTTACCTCAGCCTGAGGTCACAGATGGCGTGTGAGCAGATCTTCAAACCTGCAGACCATCTAAGGGAAGGGACGTGGACGTCTCCTTGTAAGTTGAAAGGCCAGGCCCCACACACGTGCACACCGACTATGTCCGTTCTTTGAGATTCTTCGTTCATCATTGTACTCGAAGCAGCAAGTTTCCGGATCCTGCATGTCATTCCAAGCTGCTGAGCTATATGCACAGGGCTTGAGGTCTTGGATCATTCTACTTAACTCTTTAAAACACGGTGGAGGTGGACTGTCAAATGCCAGCAGGCTTTAAGAAAGGAAATACCAAGGGTTTGTATGGTTGGAGCTTGCTTAGATTTGCTTCTGAGCCTCAGGAGTTTTAAATCATGTAATAAACTTTAGTTACAGAATGGGACTTTTGGTTAGTAAAATTTTCACATATAAAGGCAATTAGTCTTCAGCAGTTCTAACAACAATAACACAGATATGCCACATAAATTTATTCTTGATTCGGAAGGTACTGCAGGATCCTGCAGTGCTTTAGGGTCATTGGTGGAGAATCCAAATTCTGTACAATTCTGAAGTACCGTACCATGTGTTGTAAGTGGCAAGAATGCCAAGAGGCAGATGTTTCCGGTAGATGAGGGCCAGATAACCAGCCTTCCTCCATTTTGACAAACCAGTTTTCACTGTGGCCACTCTTCTTGGGACTTCATCATGAGGGAAATTTGCTGAGGTCTTGAGAAATCACCCTGACTAGGCTGATTGTCCTTCAGAGAAATGAGTATTCAGCAGCTAGAAGGAACAGTGAGGTACTCATCTTAACAGTTCTTTAGGGCGTATGTTTGAAAACCCTCATATCTCAGATCTGTGTAGAGGGTACATGCGATTGAGTCCACATTACGTACATACACTGTTGTTGTGCTCACTAAGAAAGGAGGGGAGTGAGAGAGGAGTTAATCAGATCTTTCCCTGTGGTGAATGGAAGCTGTGCCCTGGTTAGTGTGTTTGCCATGAACAGGCCGACTGAGCTGTTAATGCATGCTCAGAACCCCCCGTCTCCTGGGTAGACCCCACGCTTTTCCTTCTTTGCAGTCTGATTCTGTCATGACTATCAGTGGAGAAACCCCGGTTTTGTGCTTGCTTGGCAAAAATAAGTTTGAACATTTCAAGGTGGTTGATGGAAGTTTGTCCTTAAAACGTATGATTCAGATTCTTTAAAACTTGTTTAATATTTATACCAAAGGTCATGCTCTGCGGGTGTATGTGTGGTGGGTGCACAGAGGGGGAAGTCTGGAGGGCCTACCCCTGTGTGCATTGCTAAGGGGACACAGTGAGACAATATGGGATTTAATTGAAAACACATCAATCATGGGTCACACTACCAGTGTTGTCAGGTATTTGTTCTTAATTGTTATTGTAATATATTTTCAGGTGTTTTGTTTTTCTAATTTAATACTTTCACCCTGTTGTCTGACTGTGAACTGCTAACAGTGTTAAACTTGATGTAAATAATGGGGCCCTTGAAAGGGGAATGCTGTCTGCCTGTTGTCTCACAAGGCTTGCCAACTTGTGTTTTATTTTAAATAAAGGTTGCAATATTTTATTGGCAATGTGGGCTTGTGATTGGAGTGTTTCTCCTATAATTTTAACTGATGGGTAATCTAAGCATAATTTCTCTCTCTCTCTACATAAAATAGATATCTGTAAGGTAAAGAAGCTGATTTTAGCAAGCATCCCTCTGGCATATTCTTTAGAATGGTCCTCTGTGGGGGTGGCTACTCACCCTTTGATGGATTACAGTTTTGGAAATGGCCAAAGGCATCATCTGGAGCCCAGCTGATACATAAGGTGGGTGATGTGTGTGTGGGTCTGTCCATCCATCCAACATGAGGTGACTGTAAAATGAGGCTTAATTCTCTCAAAGTTCATTCTGAGGACAGTTTCAAATAAGTTGTAAAAATGTTTTGAGCCAAAGCAGCATTAATGGAGTAAGTGTAGAACCTCACAGGGAACATTCTAGTCTTGTTTGACTTGGTCTTCAATTTTAAAAAAAATGAATGACTCATTGCTTTTAGAAGGAACATTTTAATTCAGGATGAGTAGGATATACTCAAGCGATGCACACATACGGTCCAATCAGAATGGCTGTTGTAGGGGAGCAGAATTTGCCACCCCAAAATATGCCTCTTTGGCATAAGGGTTATTTTAAGCTGGTTATCTTTAAGAAACTTAAGTTACCCTTTTGTAAGAGAGATTTACAGTTGTGAGGGAAATCTCCATTTGTAAGGGTGTCTCCCTTGCTCTACCAAGAAGAGGAGGATGAAACTCTAGAAACTTATCAGTGGAGAAGGTGAGGACGTAAATTTGCATAGCCACCTCACAGTTGTTTACTGTGCTTTTCCTGGTAACCGTCCATAACTGACCTCCCAGCCCCAATATCTGCTTTTGTCTTTAGCTGAAAATAGTAGTTACGGTGATAGTTTCTGCCATTTTGGAGTTAGTTTTCCTGGGTCTCTCTCATGTGTACATTTTACTAAACTTTTGTTTTTCTCCTGTTAATCTTATGTCAATTTAATTATTAGGCCAGCCAGAGACGCTAGAAGGGGAAAAGGAAAAATTGTCCTCCCTGACCCTGTAAGCATCAGTTTATACACCTCCTTAACATGCCACTTTCTGTCCTTTTCTCCCATGCATTTCTGGTTTAGTTTAGGAAGGCTTGTTTCAGAGTCATTCAAGGAGAACCTCCCATTGTTTCCACCCACTTTTCAACCTCCCATTGTTCCACCCACTTTCCACACCCGAGGCTATAGCATTTGCCAAGAAAATCATTTTAGAAACATTGTCATTAATGCATAGGAATTGGACTGCCAGGGTTGAATCCCACTCCCTCATTGACTAGCTCTGTGACTTAACCCAAGTTATTTAACCTCTCAGAGCCCCAATTTTCTCAGTCATTAAATGGTGATTAAATTGGTCCCTAAGTGTTAAGTATTACATGAGGTATTGACTAGGCTATAGAGCGCTTAGCACGTAGTATGACACATGGTATGTTTGCAAATGTTAGTTACCTAAAACAAAACTTGCAGGGTTCCAAGAATTAGAATGGAGGGAAAGGCCCAGCCTGGGCTTTGAGTATGGTGCCAAAACTGACAGCAGTTTTACTAGGTTTTATTATTCTTAAAACACCTGAAGTTCTGTGTGCTGAGTACTTGATAAATATTAATTCATTTAATTCTCACAGCCCTGTGAGGTGGGTACAGTTATGTTCACTTTTACAGAAGTGGAAACCAAAGTTAAACTGAAGCCAGTAGCTTTCCCCGTGGTCTCAACAGCAAGTGGCGGAGCCGCTGAGCAGAGGAGTCTGGCTCCAGAGGAGTGTTCGGAACCACTGCAGCCTGCTGCTTGTTTTGGTTCCCGAGGTATGAGATTCAGACCCAGTGTTTATGACATCAAACATGGCTGGCCAGTGCTAAAAGCATGTTAGCTGCTCTGTGGCTCTGAGACCTAAAGCTATAGAACACACCTTTTAAAGTGTGTATTTACAGAGTTTGTTATGTTACAGGATTGGGTGGCTGCATGCCGTTCCTGAAATGCTCTAGAGTGAGACAAGGAGCCAGCTCCTAAAACCGGCCCCCATTTTATTGTGCAGTTAGGCCTGGTTTACGTCTGTCCCGTGGGTGGTGTACAACTAGGTTCCTTTAATTCATGTGAGTATTGATTGGGTATCTAATGGTGCTCAGGCTAGGTCCTGCCTAACCCAGAGGCAAATGAATTCAAGTAAATGAAGGTAATGAAGTGTTAAACAGGAGAGAAGCAGAAGTGTTCCATTTTACCAGGGCTAAAGGTGAGAGGCTTAGGAGGACTGTAAATAAGAGGGCCACGTGAGGTGATGACACATATAAAAGAGCCGTGTGTAATTCCATAAGTGTGGTAGAAGGGAAGAATCAAGGGAAGGGGAAAAACACATAATGAGCACCTCCTGTGTATAGAGGCACAATGTACACATTTACACATGGCCATTCAATCCTCAACGATGACTGTTTTTCTTTTTAAAGCTGGGAGCACAGGAGTGCTGTTTTCATATATATAAGGGCAGTATGCTGTGGATGCCTCTTCAGTAAGAGGTTGAAATAGCCTGGCTCAGCTGATGTGGTTCCAAAGCAAACTGAAGTAAACTGGCAGACGAGGCAGTCACCCTGTCAGCTCTGTGAGTGCCAGTATATGTCCCCCGTCTCCACCAGTCCCCATCAGTGTTACCTGGCATGTGGAATTTTGCTGAGTGAGCACGATTACTAGGGCTCAGTAAGAAGGTAAGTAAGCCGAGGGTTTTAGAAAAATACAAAATTTTAATCTTTACATATGATAAAATCATGTCAAGGTCCCTAACTTAAAAAAATAATAATTTTAATTGATTTAAATCTGCAGAGCAGAACAAGGCTTAGCCTACACTGACCTGATTAAAAAAAAAAAAAATCTTCCTCTGTGCACTTTTTCCTTCAGCCTGAGGCTCTTTCCTGATCTCACAGATAGAAGCTGATCAGCTTCCCTCTGGGAATAACAACTTGAAAGCTAACCCACCCAGTTCCTGCCACTGGTAAGCAGAAGTTCATTTTTCCCTTCTCTGTCACTGAGAATACTGCAGCCTCAGGCCCAACCCCCAAGCCCAGGCATCTGCAGGCAGGAGCTGATATGCTAATAAATCCTTGGGATTTATCTCCCACATGACTTTCTCCAACCAGCTGGCCGACCATTTTGGAATGTGGCTCTGTAAGGCACCAAGTGATTTTAAGAATTGGCTCTGTCTCTGATTTAAGGCCTCCCTTTTACACACCACTTGTGCTTGTGGCTGCTGGATGCTAGCCTGCCCCTCCAACCCGTTATGTTCTGGACAGTGTGCTGACAGGCCCCAGGATCCTATTAGTGGAAGGAAGGCAGCTTTGGGAAGTTTTCATCTAGCTCTCAAGGCATGAAATAGTTAATTCTCTGGGAAACAGATTTGCATCCCTGAGAAGAGAAGAGTTGTTCCTCCTTGGGGACGTACACCATCATCTTGGCGATTTCATCTAGTGCCTCTTCCGTATACAGGAGCTCCTGGCTCAGGAAAGCATCACGTGCACACAGCCTCACGTGACGATACTCCAGTGGCAGGAAGGGGATGAAGAAGTCAATCAGGTTTTCCTTCACAAGACAGCTGTGTCCAAAGCCACTGTCTAAAATCAAGAGCAAAGTTACATGGAGTCTGACCTGGGGCTGAACCCAACTGGAATTATGAGGTGTCCCCCACCCTTAGGCCTGGGCAAGGTTTGTTCTTATATGCCAACTCCAGGAGGGCTGTCTGAACTTTATGTCAAGAACTATGCAACTGTGTCTTCCTTTAGGGAAACAGGGCCATGATTAACTGGATGTGTGAGAGAGGGAGAGGGGCTATGCCTGCCAGGTTATGGTTTCATTGGATGGCAGAAAGCAGAAGGTGGAGTGACCCTACCTATCCAACTGGAGGCTGAGCCACTGAGGCTCTCACAGTGAGACTTTCTTCCTCAGGGTCTGCATACTCCATAGACCACTGCCTGTATGGCCACGGCCAACTACTCCCTTACAAAGGACTTTCAGAAAAGGGCTTCAGCTTTCTTGGCACTTTTCTAGTGCCTACCTGAAGTTGACAACGAGATGATCATATGGCGCATCCTCTGTGATCCTGAATACCCTATCTCACGAGTACACCTTCTAGTACATACACATCACCCTCCTCCTCCCCTCTCAACAGAGGCTTATTTTCTGCAAGGCTGGGAGTCACTTACCTGTGGCTTCCACAATCCCAGCCTGGAGCTGGGGCTCCAAGTGCTCCATCCCAATTTCTTCCCGGGACCACCCAGCCTTAAGCAGGTTCAGGACTACCTCATTGATGATATTGCCCCCAAGGTTACTGAAAGAGACAAGCCCGGTTAACAGATTCTGTTGTTGATTTTTTTAAATTGAAGTAGAGTTGATTTACAATATTGGGTTAGTTTCAGATGAACAACAAAGTGATTTAGTTTTATATATATTTTTTCAGATTATTTTCCATTATAGGTGATTACAATATTGTTGGGAAAATTTTCCATTATAGGTGATTATAATATTGTTGTTGGGAATATCGTTTTCTCTGTTATACAGTAAATCCTTGTTGCTTATCTATTTTATATAGTATCTGTAAATCCCGTACCCCTAATTTATCACCCCCCCTTTCCCCTTTGGTAACCAGAACTTTGTTTTCTACGTTTGTGGATCTATTTATGTTTTGTATATAGATTCATTTGTATTATTTTTTTAGGTTCCATATATAAGTGATATCACATAATCTTTTTCTGACTTACTTCACTTAGTATGATATTCTCTAGGTCCATCCAGCAAAGGCAATATTTCTTTATTATGGCCGGTTAACATTCCATATTGTGTGTGTGTGTGTATACCACATCTTCTTAAACGAATCGTCTGTTGATAGGCATTTGGGTTGTTTCCATGTCTTGGCTATTGTAGAGTGCTGCTATGAAAACTGGGAAGAACACTGCATGTATCTTTTCAAATTAGAATTTTTATCATTTCTGGATATATGCTTAGGAGTGGGATTGCTGGATCACATGGCAGCTCTATTTTTAGTTTTCTGAGGAACCTCCACAGTTTTCCATAGTGGCTGCACCAATTTACATTCCCACCAACAGTGCAGGAAGGTTCCCTTTTCTCTACACCCTCTCCAGCATTTATTATTTGTAGACTTTTAGATAATAGCCATTCTGACCAGTGTGAGGTGATACCTCATTGTGGTTTGTTTTTTTTTTTTAATTTATTTTTGGCTGCGTTGGGTCTTCGTTGCTGCACGCAGGCTTTCTCTAGTTGCGGCGAGCGGGGGCTACTCTTCATGGTGGTGCACGGGCTTCTCATTGCAGTGGCTTCTCTTGTTGTGCAGCATGGGCTCTAAGCCTGTGGGCTGATCAGCAGTTGTGGCTCGCAGGCTCTAGAGTGCAGGCTCAGTAGCTGTGGCGCACGGGCTTAGTCACTCTGCGGCATGTGGGATCTTCCCGGACCAGGGATCGAACCCGTGTCCCCTGCATTGGCAGGTGGGTTCTTAACCACTGAGCCGCCTCATTGCTTGGAATTGTGAGGGGCAAGGGAAGTCCCCTCATTGTGGTTACGATTTACATTTCTCTAATAATTAGCAATGTTGAGCATCTTTGGATGTGCCTGTTGGCCATCTGTATGTCTTTGGAGAAATGTCTATTTAGGTCTTCTGATCATTTTTTGATTTTTTTTTTTTTTGATATTGAGTTGTATGAGCTGTCTGTATCTTTCGGAAATTAAGCCCTTGTTGGTTGCATTACAAATATTTTCTCCCATTCCGTAGCAGGTTGTCTTTTCGTTTTGTTGATGGGTTCCTTTGCTGTGCAAAGGCTTTTAAGTTTGATTAGGTCCTGTTTGTTTATTTTTGCTTTTATTTCTTTTGCCTTGGGAGACCGATCCAAGAAAATATTGCCACAACTTATGTCAGAAAATGTTTTGCCTATGTTCTCTTCAAGGAGTTTTATGGTGTCGTGTCTTAGATTTCATTATTTTTATATTTGGCTTCCAAATGGATAAGCTGACCACTGAGGTAGATTTTACCTGAGGCCATGAGCCCCCCAGCTAGAGAGGCTGGGGGTTCCCTGCTCAAGTTCAGCTGCTCAGCCAGACTTCCCCTGGCATCTATAGCTGGGGAAGCTGCTTATGACGACACTCTTCTACTTCCTGAAGCTGTGGCCCGACTCCTCCTGCAGGAAGGCCTGCCAGGCAGGTCATCTGTGTACACGCAAGACCACAGTTGCATCAGCTGAGGCAAGACCTGCCCACTGCCAAGGGATTGCCCAATCCTGCATTCCTCACAGGAGGCAAAGGAGGGTTTACCTTTCAATGGGCTGCAGGACAGGCATCCAGGGTGAAAGGGAGAGGAAGAGGATTCACTTGCTCAGCCTCAGGGGCACAGACTCCAGTGCCTTCCCCATTTCTGCCCAGAAAGCCACCTGACACTTAAGTTTTCTTGAGAGCATAAGCTTAGCCTGTTTGTGGTAACCCAGTGCCTAGCACCTATCAGGCGCTCAATATTTATTAAATGTTTACTGAATAAATGGACATCTCTGCATGTTTATCTACACTATCATCTCCACCTCCTTCTGAATTTCTTCCTCCACGTTACGGGCTTTACCTCACCCACCAATACATAACCTGGGCCCCTTTTCTATTCCAACCCCCCTAGTCTTCAGCTCCTCAGGCACCAACAATTACGCCTTTAAACAGATGTTGCCTTCCCAGAACACTTCAATTCCCTTGCACAGCCTCCCAGGTTGCCTGCTGACTGGGAGGTCTGACGGGATCAAGGGACAGAAGGCACCTCTAGAAACGAACTCTCTCCCCTGGCTCCGGGACAGGACGATATGAAATCTCACCACAGAGGAAGGAGGCTCAAAGACCTCTCCAGAACTGTGATCACAAAACCCAGCCTTAACTGTTAAGTCTTCCCTGAAGAACAGATACAAACTTGACTCAATCATAATCTCTCTGAACCTTAGTTTCCTAATTTGTAAGATGAGAGACTTGAAGCAGACAATTTAAGAAGCCCTCCTTAGGTCACCTTGGATTCAGTGGTCAGTCAAAAAATAGACACTTCTGTGAGCACCTGCTATGTGCTGGGGTACAAGGCCTTTGATTCCATGAGTAACTGACATTTGTATAGTTCTCTGCATTTTTCAAAGCCCTTTCTATCCATTCTTTTTCTGACAGCAGCCCAAAGAGAACAGGCATTAATTACCCTCTTCACTTTACAGCTTCAACGGAAGAGGCCAGTAGCTCTGATCCCCAGAGTTCCACTGTGCCTGTCCTGCCCCGTGACTCCATTCCCAGAGCCTTCTGTACTTGGTAGAAATGGGCAAAAGTAGTCAATGTTAGTAGTTAGTCAACGTTACTAACTACTAACCAAGTAGTTAGTTAGTACTTGGCCAGGGGCCCCAAATTCCTCAGGCCCAGATGAAGGACTGGCTGAGTGCTGGGGCAACTCTAGCCATAGCCCCGCTCCCCACTACACCCCCTGCTTCAGCTGCCACCTCCTCCTTTCCGCCATCCGACACCACCACTTTGCAGGGGGGCCAGCAGAGCTGCTAGGACTTCACTTCAAATAGCAGGTTTAGGATTTTTTTCAGGATTAAACCACTGGCCTTACACTAGTGATTTGTTTACACCATCAATTTGAATCAGCTGTGCTTTTCTTTTAAATATAAGAGTCCTCACCACACAGGTAAGGTTATTGTAGAAATCAAGTCCAGAGACACCATCTTCCCCCACCTATCACTAGACTAGCTGAAAACTTTGGGGTTTAGAGGTGCTGCTTTCTGGCTGCCCGAGGCAGGGGTGCAAGCTGCTGCACCGCACTGACAGCCTGGCTGGCCCACAGGCTCCAGACAGTCCACCCAGGCCTGTTGGGGACCACTGGCTCTCACAGGCCGGGCCCACACCAGGGCCACTGGAACTGGAAGCCATGTCCTTGCCTCTCAGTCACCAGTGTGCATCTTCCTCCCTAGGGGCTCAAAGGCTCCTTCAGGTCCAGTGCAGCCTCTGCATCCCCTGCCACAGTAGGCCCAAAGGGTAGCTTGTCCACAGTGGCTCTCTTCCTGGCCCTGCCTCCACTCTGCCAGTGTCTGCTCATCAGGACCCCGTGGCCTCAGACAGTGCACAGACGCTGGGTCACTAGGGGGAAAGGGCAGGTGGTGGGACAGGGGCACTGCCAGCAGGTCAATGACCAAAATACTACAAACGCAAATATTTGCCTAGAGATAGCAGGGTCACCTGGGTCGCATTAGGAAATCCTGGCAACAGCAAGGGTGAGGTTTTCCAAGCTGAGAACTGGTAGGGAAGTCAGTACCCTGGCACCTCAAGCCAAGCTGGGGAAAGGTCGGCCACAGCCACAAGGCAGAAGCAGGCTTGGCCTGGTAGGAGGAAGGAGGAAGGAGCCAGTCAGTGGAGGGGGGAAGAAGCCACGCACGAAGTCAAAGGATCCCTGCAATAGAAAGGGCGTCCTGAGGTAGCTGGGCACTAGGCTTCCTTCTGTTCTGAGAAAAGGACTCTGCCTGCAGGAATGGTTCCAGGGGTCCCCTGCCCCCACCCCCTGCCAGGGCTTGGGTGGAGAAGCCTTGGCGAACTAAGGTGATTCCTTATTTTGCCTCCTCTGCATTTTGGAGCCCCTACCTAATTCACTGCAACAGGAAGAGATCTGCACTTCTGGGCTACCTCAGAAGGTGATAAGTAGTATCACAGAGTTTACTGTCCTTGCCTCCTAATTCTGATCACTCAAGTCATATCAGAAAATCTTTCTCTGCTTTTCTCTGAAAATCACCTTTGGGGGCTCCCAAAGGCCCTCCTGTGCAATGCATTGTAGCGTCCCGTCAGCCTTATTCACAGACCAGGAAGGACTTGCCACTAACACACCAAAATCCCAACCCAGCAACAGTTTAAACTGGTTCCACCTTGTCTTGTGGGTCCACAATGAACCAAGATCTGCCCTCCACAGCTCACTCCTTCACACATTCCAAGCCTGGATGAAAAACCAGACCCCTTACTTCTCCTCACAGGGTGTACCCTAAAGCTGGGGATTTCTCCCCTAGCAAGCATGTACTGGCCTGCGGGAGGCGGGTGACAGTGGGGAGGAGTGGTTTGGCTTCCACCGAGTGCAAGAAGCTGCTTGTGAAGCATTCAAGTTGGGCCAACAGGGACCCAAACTTGACTGCTAACAGACCTTAGGCAGGACTTTCTGTTGGAGCTGCCATAAAAAGATAGGATTGGACAGCTTGATTTCAAAATTAACTTTTTGCAAGCCATTTCTAGAGCCTGTGGCACACAGTAAGAGGGAACTGCTAGTGTGTACAT